AATCACACACCACACACAAGCCCAAAAAGAACCAGCACTGCTGGCACCCAGACGCGGCAGCGCCAGCCCAAGCGCGAAGCCGCGCAGACAAGCAGCCTAAGGGTCAAGCAATCAAGCAACAAGCAGCAGGAGCATGCAGGAGGAAGAAAATCCCTTAGACGCGATACCCGGAGGCAGCCGACTGACCACTGTCAGTCGAGACGTCCGCTGCCGCCACAAAGCGGGCGGCCGCGGACGGAGAAAGGGCAGCCGCCGACGTCAATCCTATGACAAGCCGACAAGGAGCCGGCGTTGCCCGGGGGTCCGCCTGGGGCAGCGGACGGAGGGAGGCTGGACACTGGAGCACGGTACCGCTCGCTAGCCTCCGAGTCAGCGCACGGTAGCCGAGTCAGCGGTAGCCGCCCGTGACGGCGGCGACGCCGCGGCAATGCCCAAGGACCGGCGTGACCCGACCGATGCCGGGGAGGAAGCAGGCGGAGGCACCCCACGTCACAGTGAGGGACGGAGACTGACCACTGTCAGTCGAGACGTCAAAAGCGTTGTACTACGGTACGGACGCGGCTCAAACAAACGAAACATAAGACCGAAAGTAACCACCACTGCTGCCAGCCTGAGCCCACGCGGGAAGGCAGAGTGGGGCAAGCGACGAGCACCGTGATACCGGGCACAGAAGGGGACGTAAACGCCCTCATACACGATACCCGGAGGCAGCCGACTGACCGCTGTCAGTCGACGCGTCTGCCGCCGCAGAGGCCGCGGACGGAGAAAGGGCAGCCGCCGAGGAGTCCGCCTGGGACAGCTGCTGACGCTCCAACTTTCAGTAATGCAAGGATTGGAGGGTACCTGCCGCTGTGCCGTCGAGACCGAGGATCAACATGTCCCTGGCAGCGGTGTTTGAGCCGGGGAGTACCACGCGTGCCACGGTGCGTACCGCGGGCCCGGCTGGCCCCGGACGGCGTGGCCCGGCCCCCGGGCGGCGATTCACTGCGAGTCGGCGCAGCCACATGGTGTCCCGGGGGTAGTGACCGTCCGACATGATCATTGTGGGGGTAGGGTAGGGGGTACTGAGGGGCTAGGGGTAGGGTAGGGGGTAGTAGGCTCTCATCGGAAGTTCCAGGGGCTCGGCCCTACCAACGAGCCTCGGAGGCGTAGGTAGGGTAGGTGACCCAAGAGTTTCCGGAAGTGAGCCTGGGGTAGGGTGGGGTATGACCCTACCTACGAGTCCTAGGGCCATAGGCTCCACTCATTGTCCGTTCAGCATAGGGGGTAGGTTGTTCTCACAGTAATTGCTCCGAGACGAAGGGAGGGTGGGGTGGTGGCGATATCGGAGGAGGCGCGGATGGTAGGAGTGCGGGTAATGGAGCTGGCGAAGAAGCTCAACGAGCGAGACAAGGACGCGAGAGAGGAAGAAACCCGCGACCTCCCCACCAAGAAGGAAAGGTCTCCTCCCCTCACCGACCCTCCGCAGGCGGCGAGTTCTCCTGCCGATACCAACAACGTAGACGCCTTGCGCAAAGGAGGGAACGCGGAGAGCAGAAACAATGACACGAATAGGTCACCAGGAGAAGCAGAGCACCTGAGCACCAAGGGGAATGCGCATGCGACTGTGAAGTCGCAACTGGACAACGGGAGGCAGCAGCAACAGAAGTCACCATCACAGGCTGCTCACGACAGTCGCAACTTGAGCTCCAATCCTCGCCCTGCCTTCAGCGTCACCGTCTCACCGACAACCCCTCGGTCTTTCAGCACGGAGACCAACGGAGCTGTCAGCTACTTCACCTCTGCTGTTGCCTCCCCTCGCAACGACCTGGTGCGCTACAAGCATGCGCAGCGCTTGATCTAACTTTGCTGGTGTTGTAGGGACAGCATGTGTTCTATGGCTCGGGGAGCAGCCACGAGCGGATGCTTCCTCGCTCTCCTCCTTCCTCGCAAGCATCTGCCAGCAGCAGTACCTCACAGGTGAGCGTGAAGTTTGAGCATGCCGGGAGCTATCAGGGGGGCATGAAGAACGGTGAGCGGGAGGGCACAGGCACGTTCAAGTGGGAAGACGGGGAGCTGTTCAACGGAGACTGGGCTGGTGACATGTTTCATGGATGGGGGATCTATCAGTGGAGGAATGGGCAGAAGTATTCGGGGTACTGGAAGAACGGCAGGCATGATGGACAGGGTTATATGTCCTGGAGCTTGAACGAGAACATGCCGGGGTGGCGGAGGGCAGGTCGATACACGGGAAGCTTCATGAACGGTTTCAGAGCAGGCAAGGGTTCGGAGACGCAAGCGGAGCTTGGGTGCTACACCGGCGAGTGGCAGCAAGACATGCGGGCAGGGGAGGGCATGTTCAAGTGGCTCAACGGGAGCAGGTACCTCGGGGAATGGTCGTGCGACCAGCGCAACGGCAGCGGAGTGTTCACGTGGGCCGACGGGTCCTGGTTCCAAGGCTCCTTCCGCGATGAGTGGCCGCTGAGCGGGACGCTGGTGGACATGTACGAGGAATGCTATCATGTCGAGTACCGGCAGGTGCAACAGCCCGCACAGCCTCCCGCCTTGGAGATGCGATGCCAGCTGCTGACCAAGACGCACCTGGGCCACCTCTCTACGCAGAAGCAGCTCCTGTGAGCCATGGAGGAGGTCGAGCGAGTGACTGAGTGGCTGACGCCGATTGGCAGGCTGAATGGCAAGCGCATGCTGGACAAGATGTCAGGGTACAAGCACGTCACCTCGCCCGACCCGACCCTGAGCCCTCGACGCCTGGGCTCCCTCACCCCCTCCGACTCATCTCAGCGTACGAGCCCCCCCCTCTCCGACGGGCTTCGAGGGTCTGCGGTGAAGTCGCCGCACGAGCAGGACATGTCGAGAGACGCTCAGATCCCGCTTGTCACCGCTGAGCTCGTCTACCCCGAGCCACCCGCCCTCGCCTTCTCCTTGCCGCCTGGCTCCCTCTTCAAGGACCCGTCTAGCTCCCTCTACACGCCTGGCTCCATGAACAAGGACCCGTCTAGCTCCCTCTTCAAGGACCCGTCTAGCTCCCTCTTCAAGGACCCGCCTGGCTCTATGAACAAGGACCCGTCTAGCTCCCTCTTCAAGGACCCGTCTAGCTCCCTCTACACGCCTGGCTCCCTGTACAAGGACCCGTCTAACAATCTCTTCAAGGACCCGTCTAGCTCCCTGTACAAGGACCCGTCTAGCTCCCTCTACCAGGTCCAGTCTAGCTCCCTCTACACGCCTGGCTCCCTGCACAAGGACCCGTCTAGCTCCCTCTTCAAGGACCCGTCTAGCTCCCTCTACACGCCTGGCTCTATGAACAAGGACCCGTCTAACAATCTCTTCAAGGACCCGTCTAGCTCCCTCTTCAAGGTCCCGTCCAGCTCCCTCTACACGTCTGGCTCCCTGTACAAGGACCCCCCTGGCTTGTCAACCTTGAGATCTCCTCAGCAGCAGAACCTCAGCTCGGTGCCCAGCTATGCCTCGGCTTACAGCATGCATGACCGGCAGATGCGACCAGCCTCACAAGACTTGTGGCAGTCAGCGCCTCGTCCGGCGGACTACAGGTCACAGAGCTACTGGTCCCTTGCTGCTCGCACCTCCTCCCTCCGACTCTCACCTTCAAGCTACGGGCTCACCCCAAGTTCCTACTCGCCAAGGGGTTACAACCCTCCTGCATGGGCCCTGCCAGCCAGTCGCAGGGGAGACTGGAGGACGCCGACGGAGTTGTTGTCGTCTTCCCATAGGAAGGAGCCTGAGAGCGACTGTGCCCCTACCACCTACTCGTCAAGCAGCAGACCAGCTCACTCAGCCTCGGAAGAGGCGTCAGAGCTGGCGAGAAGTGAAGCGACAGCTGAGGATCCCAAACGAGCTGGAGGCACCCAAACCGCCTTGACCCCGGGCAGAGAGGAAACGGCAACCAAGACCTCGGCGGCTGTTGGTCCAACCCAGGAAGAAGAAGCTTCAACGGAAGCTCCTCCAGTTGCTCAGCAGGCTAGAGGAGAGGAGGCGTCACCCCAGCCCCAAGGCATCCTCCGCCTCTCCCCTCCCCTGCACAACCCCATCCATAACTCGGTCAACGGCGGAGGCGGGACGTCGATGAGCAGCTGGGACGGGAGGAGAGTGGAGGAGGTGGTGGCGATGAACACGAGGAGCAACAAGATGGTACTCTCGCAGGGCCCTCGAGGCTTGGGGATGGAGCGAGGCCCTGGGACAGTCGGCCTTAAACTCGAGATGGCTCCGTCCTTCTTCCCCACCAACAAGAAGATCGTGCGAGGAATCAAGGCAGGCAGCAGCGCCGATCGCAGTCAGATGATCCAGCTCAACGACGAGCTGCTGGCCGTTGACGGGCAGGACGTGACGGAGCAGGAGCTCTTTGCGGTGAAGCAAATGATTGCAGGGCCAGCTGGGTCTGTCGTGTTCCTCGAGCTGCGACGGGAGGCTGGGATGCACGTGCGTCGGTTCTCTGTTGGTCTCACGCGCGAGCCCGTCGCCTCCTCCTCCTCCTGGTCCATGGACCTCTCGATGCCGGACGAGAGCCGCGCTCCTCCGCTCTCCTTCCAGTCCGTCGAGAGCTGCGACCGTTACATCGGCTTCACCGACGCCTCCTGCGGCTTGGGGATCATCCCTGCGAGGGAGGCTGACGCGCTTCTGGTCCACAGCCTCGTGCCCGGGGGCCCTGCAGCCAAGTGCGGGTTCGTGCGCCCTGGGGACTCGATCCTCGCTGTGGATGACGTGGAGGTGGAGGGGTCGAGGATGGAGGAAGTGACGCGAATGCTGGAGGGGGAGGAGGGGAGAACTCTCGTCGTGAAGCTGCTGAACAGCAACAAAGAGCCTTACAGTGTCGTCTTGACGGCTATCAAGGTGACTCCTCCCTCGCTTCCCCCTCTCCCTCGCCCCCCTCCTCTCCTCTCCCTCTCTCCGATTGACCTTGTTTGCAGTACCCGCCATCGGTGCCCACAAGCTCCGCCCTGCCCCCAGTAGCGGCCCAGCAGCGGCCTGAGCTGGTGGAGGTTGGGATGCTGCTGCATCAGGACAAGGAGAGGAGAGTCACGGTTAGGGCCGTCAAGCCTGGCGGCCTCGCAGACCAGCATGGCCTCCTCGTCGGCTCTCAGATCCTCTCCGTGCAGCGTCAGGACGTGGCCGGGCTTCGCCTCAGCAGCATCACCCGCCTCTTCGCCGACCTCGCGCGTGGCGTCCCCATCCTGCTGCGAACCCCCGAGGGGACGGTGAGGAGTGTGACGCTGGGAGGACAGGAGATGATGCAGGGGATGTAACGAGGACGGGGCGATGAAGACTTGACGAGAAGGGGAAGACTGAAGGACGAGATGAAGGAGGGAGAGCAGAGGAGAGGAAGGGGAGGGAGAGGGTACATCTTCATCGAGTTTTAATGGCACATAGTGAAAGTTAGATCATTAGTACGAATAATCCACAAAAAGAATCTCTCGCTTCCTCCTTTACATTTACAATCTCAATGTACATCAGATCGAGCGCATGACATGCTCTTGATCGACGATCATCCCCGTCTTTCGCCTCACCAGATCGTCCTGGCTCACGTCCTCTCCCTGCCGCTTGCACAGCAGCGTCTGGCTCCCTTCCTGATCAAACGACAGGCCCTGGAAGCGCCAGATCGCCTCGTTCACGTCCTCGCACGAGCGGCTGTTCGGAGGCACGCTCCTCCTCCCTTGTGTAGGCAGCGTATCCAGCGCGGGCTCGGACTTGACGCTCCTCAAACCTCCCGAGCACTTCTGCTGGGCCCTCCTCCTCGACGCGTTTCGGAGCCGGAAGATCTCGCGGAACTCGTCCTCCAGGTGGGGGGCCTGACGACGCAGCAGCTCCAGCGTGAAGGAAAAGAACTGAACCGTCGGCACCTCCCGCCTGTGCGCCGCCGCATGTACGCGGTCGAAGGTGTCGCGCTCCTGGTTCGACAGGTACTGCCTCAGACACACGATCAGGTTCGCCAGCATGACATGCCAGCTCTGCGGGCTGCCCGAGTAGGGCTTGCTCCTGTTCGCATGCTCACAGTCTTTGAGCTTCCCATGCTCCAACTTGTCCACACAGGACGAGAGATCGGGGTCTTCTCCTGCCGGGTACGCATCCGACAACGTCATCATCCAGTCTGCTCCTCTTGATGCTGGTCCACGTCCTCCAGGGTCACTTCGATTCTTCTCTGGTCAAACAACCTGCAAGGGGCATGGTCAGGCCACAGGCTAGAGAAAGAGACCAAACAAAATTCCAAGGCAACGAAACAAGCCTCCCTTCCCTTACGATTGCACCGCAGCCATCCACCATACTCGTTCTTCTAGAGTTCTACGGCATCCAAGAACGCGTTCCTCGTGTCTTACACATCTGTCTCCTAATCCCACGGCATCCTCCCTGAAAGCTTGCCTGGCACAGCCTGTATCTGCTCTCCCGTTCCTTTCCTCGTATCTCATGCTCTCCTCCTTGTGTCCTCCAGCTGTCCTCGAGGTCTCAACAACTCTCGTCATACCATATCTTCCTCCTCTTCCTCTCCTCTACTCCTTCTCTGCTCTCCTCACAGGACTCCCTTCCTGCTCCCTCTGATCTCTACGCCATTTCCTTATTCATTTAAAAGACCTCTGGGGGGGTCATCAATTAAATGCACAAATGTGGGTGCGGTGGATTAAAAGGGGGGTGAGGGTACCAATGGTTGTCGATAAACCGGTAGAAAAACCTACTTACAGAGGGGTACAGTCGAGGAAAAATGATGATAATATCCCACTGAAGGGAATGGTGGGGTAGGGGCAAAATTTGCAGGGGAGGGGTGAAGATTTAGTAGCCAGGGGGGCGTAAAACCTTATTAAAACAAAAATATATATATTAATAAAACAATTTTGACTTATTTTAAAGGAATATATGCCAGAAGAGCCCTGTGAGCTCAACGCTTGAAGGAAAGATGACTGGTTTTAGTACCGAGTAACTTAAATAATTTTTGAAAAACAATTTTAGACGTATCTTGTAGAGGCCAGTAGCTCAGAATTCTTAAATATAATATATTATGTATAGGGAAATTATTGACTAATTTCCTCAAAAGCAAGTTTTAATCTCCTCAGAGGTTTCGCAGGCCCGGAACCGCTGAGAGATTTGGAGGGTTCGGGGGCAGATCGAGATCAATTTCAGGGGTAGGGGTACTTGACCACCGTCAATTTCCTGGAAATAAATATCGAGAAAGGGTAGGGTGGGTAGAGATTGATAGTAGTTTTGGAAGGGTCCATCTAAGCGCAGACCTCTGCCTGGTGGGTGGGGGATGGAAGGGGCTCTGTAGGGGGCTGGAGGGACAAGGGGTATCTAAAACTAATTTAGTGTTTTTAGAATGTAGATTTTTCACTTCTACAATGATATTAAAATAGGGGAAGATAAGGGCAGATGTACAGAGACATTTGTACAAATACATATTAGTCTCACTGAGTACTCTTTGTCCATGTCAATACTGTTTTAGGGTTATATGTAATATAAGTTACTAAACTTTTTCCGTCGACATACCATGGCCCCCGACCCCACGACTCTATCGGGGAGGGGAGGGTTTGAAATAATCTTTTAAAGTAAACATTTTTTTAAAGGAGAAAAAGGAGTTATTTATAGAATAAAAACTTATTTTGATTGATCTTGTTACCCCATGTCCTTGAAAGAGAGTGGTTTGACTGAATTTCTGTGATGTATATATTTGTATTTCTCGAATAGTATAGTTTTGAAGATTCTCAGACCCATCTTTCCTGTCAATTTTGAAATCGAGTCTTTTCATAAAGATCAACCTCATCTTTGCGAACTTTCCAAACTTCCAAACTTTCATGGACCTTCGTCGAATTTTCAAACCTCTCAAAGTATGTAAACTTCTAAACTTTCAAACCCCTGAACTTCTAAACTTCTAAACTCCTGAACTTCTAAACTTCGACCCCTTCGGCTGTTTGAAAGGAATGCACGTGCAGTGAAGAAGAGGAAGAGGAAGAGCAAGAGCAAGAGCAAGAGCAAGAACAAGAGGACGAGGACGAGGACGAGGACGAGGACGAGGACGAGGACGAGGACGAGGACGTTGTACAAGAGCTCTAGCAGCATCTGATCTCTGAACTGCTTTCTTGAATGGTGATGAAGAAACAGCAGGCAGCACTGAAATGCAATGGGTTCCACGTTATGAAGGTTCACCACCGACTTCTCCCATTCTTGCAAGTGCTCTACGTGAAACTTCATCGGTCCAAGAAGGCGGGAGAGGAGGCGCTGCCGGGTGACCGGACTCTGTTCGTAGCGAACGCAACGATGGAGGAGGAGGAGCTCAGGTCAGTCTTCGAGCAGTTCGGGAGCGTTGAGGCCATCACAACCAGGTGAGAGAGGAAGATGGGAAGAGATGGGAGGAGAAGGAAGATGGGGAGAGATGAGAGGAGAAGGACAACACCAGAGGTGTGAGGGAAAGGGGAGGAGCACCGAGCTCAATATGTCTGAGGAGGAGAGGAGAGAAGAGGCGGGAGAACAGAAGAAGGAGGGAGAGGATGAAAACTGTGGAGAACGGAGAGGGAGGAATATGAAAGGTGACCCTGCCAGCAGTGACAAGAAGAAGAAGCTGTTCAGAGGACGAGACAGGAGGAGCGAGGCCGCGGGGGGTGGCACCGCTCATGTGGTGTTCAAGCAGCGATCAGCATGCGAGGCTGTGCTCAAGTCTTGCAGTCCCCTGAGACTGGAGGAAGAGGACGAGACAGGCAAGACAGGGCTGAAGGCCTGGATGCACGACCACAGGTGGTAGAGGAGCTGCTGGTGGTGGTCGTGGTGATGATGAGGATGACGATGACGATGAGGATGACGATGAATGATGATTATGATTATGAACGTGATGATGATTGAAATGATGATGAATGAGATGATGGTGATAAGGGGGAGGGGGAGGGAGACTGAGAGCTTTGCAGGTCCAAGAACATGGCGGAAGATTCACTTCAGGCGCATGTAGACGCGTGTATGGCAGCCTTCGATAGCAGGACCGAAGTGAGAAGAGAAGGGAAGGGAAGGGGAGGGGAGGGGAGCAGGGGGGAGGGGAGAGAGGAGGAGATGAATGGATTCTTGG